TAAATCATCTGAACAACCACCTTCATCCTTAAAACAAACTGCATCTAACACAACACCATTATAATCATATGAACCACGAACTTTTGAAAAATCTGAACAACCAAAACACTTTGAACCAAAACAATCTCAAACTCACGTTCAAACACCACCAGAAGAACCAACTCCAAAACAACCAGAACAAAAACAAGAACCTCAACCAGAAATTCCTCAATCTAAAATTCCTGAACCAGAAACTATCCAACCCTCTGAACCACCAAAATCTATACCTTCCAATCCACAACCTAATCCTCACCCAGAACAACCCAAACCTACTGAATCATATATATCTGATTTTGAGGTTTTGGATGTACAACCCCACAAAATTATGTTTGACGTATCTTCCACATCCTGTCCCTCATCTACCTCATCTGATTCATCTGAATCTGATGTTCACCCAGAAGTCAGCTCACCCCTCTCTCTCAGAGGATATGAACCAAAACAACCAGATACATCTATTTCATCTGATGCTATCATTCCTGAACCAACGCCAACACCTAAACCAAACCCATCAACTTTTATTCCATACTTTGAAAATACAAGAGCTGTTATTCCATCCATTCGCAAAATAAAACCCTTCTTTCATCTCATACTTGCTCAGAAGACACCACCTTATCCTCGTCTTCTGTTCAACATCCCAACATTTACCATACCACCCCTACCTGTTCAATCCAAACCATCCATTCTGGATGCCTTTCTTAAACCTAAACCAAGGCTAAATGTTGATATTTTATTTGCTAATTTTATGAAAGAAATAAGGACGAATTTAGACTCTGTGAAGAAGAGATGCCTGTCAACCATGAACTCAGATGAATCTGATGCTATTTGGAATAACTTCATTTCCAGATTCAACATTGTTGCTTCAAATCTGAAGAGTGTTTGCTCTGATGATGCAAAGATCAGATTTGCTGAGACTTCCAGAACCATGCTATGGAATCTGAAAAGATCTCCAACTTTGCTTCTTGAAGATGCACCTTTAACTTCTGGAGTGTCTGCTACTATAGAAGGATCTGCGTCTGAAGTCATTCTAGAAGAGAATTTTTTAGCTCTGACGATTATGGACAAACCATCTGCATCTGTGGCTCCAGACTCTGCAACTCCAATGGAAATTGACTCTACTCCTACTCCTGCATCAGAATCTGCTCCGTCTACTTCTTCTGAGATCAAGAAAGAGAACCCAGAATTAGAAGATAAGATTGCTGTGCTGGAAGCTGGTCAATCTGAGATTAAATCCTGGATGGCAAGGCAAGATCAGAAGACTAAAAACATTGAGAAGTGGATGTCAAAGCAAGAAGAATCTTCATCTGAGATCACTCACCTTCTGAAGATGCTTCTTTCTAAACAATCCTAGATTTATGTTTTCTTTATCTGATGTTTGAGAACTTGTTTTGAATTTCTCATCTGATGTTTTGTCTGTTCTATCTGACTATTTGAATGAATGAATGAATCTGAATGTTTTCTCTTTTTGATTATATCTTTTCTCTCCGTTTCCTTTTATTTGTCTTCAAAAGTTTTTTTTGATTATGACAAAAAGGGGGAGAAAATGAAATTCTGACTGTTCAAATAAACTTTACCTGAATAGAATTCAGACATATCAAAATTATAACTAACATGAATTTTTAGTATTTCAGAACTATAATGATAAATCTGACAAAATTCATTTAAAGTAACTCTGAGATCCCCAGATCAAGGTTTAACCAATCAGGCTCTGATTCTGAAACGTGGCTCTGATTCTGAAACGTTCATCCAAATCAAGCTCTAATTTTGAACATTCAGGCTCTGGTTCTGAAAATAATACTCATACAAAAGGGAAGTTTCTATTCTTTCTTAGTATTCAATTCAGGGGGAGATTCATAATCTCAAACATCTACTGCCTTTGCCTAAGAGAGAGTAAACCTTGACCCCGTGTTGAGTCAACTAAATGGCATTGGACCTTAAAATGTGGAAAGCAAGTGTTAAGGTCGACACACTTTTTTTTTGTATTCACACTAATACTAAAAGATTTGACGTAAGCCCAGCTCACAGGATGCATCTGTGAGAGGGCAATCACTAGATGATTAAGAACACCTACCTCAAAGTCATTGAAAGGAAGACATAAACCTATCAAGAAAACAAAAATTCATGAAGAGGGATGATGCACCCCTCTCATACTTGCTATATACCCCCCGTTCCACTTTAGGGAAAACACTCCTCTGTCCGAGGAGGAAACCGCCTCAATGAAAGCGTGATCCATACCGCCTTTACCAATGAAGAAGGATATGACATCTAGCATTTCTCGGTCCACCCACACATCTTAATTGTGTTCCATTATATTTCGATTTCTTGGGCAAGAGTTTTCCATCTTAGAGTTATTGCCAATACAAAAACAAAAACCCTAAGTATAAGCATGAGATTTGGAATCCAACCACCACCATACTTCACCATCTGTGGAGTTTCAACCAAAAACACAACAATGCATTTTGATATAAGTTTGGGCTTTGCGTTCCTTCCTTAAAACATCTTGAAAATGAGATTCATCAAGGGAAAAGTAGGAAAATTGAAATCTTCAACAACTTCTTAGGAGCGAGGCCATCAATTATCCTTCCACTCTTGACTGTGTTTTTTCCCCTTTAAATCATCCATAACCACCTTTCTAAGATATCCTAGGGAAGGAAAAATAAACAGAGAAAAGAAAGAGATTTCGGGTCATTACCTTAAAAGAAATGAACTTGATGATTTGTGCAGCTGATGGATATGGTACAAAGACGTAAGAATGTTGGCTGATAGAAAACTGCTGACAAAGACAAAGGAAAACTCTAGAAAACAGGGAAAAATTCTTAAAGTATCATGAATGATGAAAAAGAAGGAATAGTTTCTCAAGAACCCATGTATTCGTCAGACAATCGTATGATCCATGATAGCAGGCGTTGGGAAGTATGACCATGCTACCAATGGTCATGATCTTGCATTGAATTGTTCATAACGCTTGAGTATCCTAAAATAAGAAGACATCCTTACTATCAAACATAGGACCACCCTTCAAAACCCTATAGCGAAACATTACAAGTTACAAGAAAGGAATTCAAAGGGAAATTACTCCTTTTGACCAGGGACAAAATTGAAGCCATCACGACAAAACCCACATTCTAAGAATCAGGAACTAGGGCTTCAGAGACAACTTTTATGAGTCACTTACAAGACCCATATAACAAGGTCCAGTAGTAAGCATTACGAGGAAAAGTGTGAGGAACATATGTGACCTTAGTCAAGCAAAAAACACTTAATTTCGTCCTTCTGCCAACGTTCCACCGTCAGATCTAATCAGATAATGATCCACATGAAATATCATATTAAGAGAAAATAATTTTAGCCCCCTAAATTATATAAAACTCTTCACGCGCTAATATCCAAATAATCTATTCATTCTCACACATAAACTCTCAGTTTTTATTGACTTAGACATTATAGTACCTTTGATGATATGGAGAGTTAATACATGGAGAATCAATCTGAATCGACTGTTGGTGTCCTGGGTTCCCTGAAGCCTTGAAACTTCTTGAGGGGACTTCAATAAGTCATATAAGCTTTATGGACCATGATTCCACCATTGGAATGCCATTTAAATCAAAAGTCAAACTATAGTGACTTTTCTAATTAGAAAACCCTAATCGGGGGTCCTGAACTGCACTATTCTTCTTCTTTGGGTAACAATCTCAAATTGGACTCATACTTGATCCAAATAGTACCTGTGATGATATGGAGAGTTAATACATAGAGAATCAATCCAAGACCTTGACTGATCATACCATAAAAATTCTGATTCCTAACTGTGTAGAACCCTAATTCACCTGTATCTTAACAAAGGTCAAACTTAAAATGAGTTAAGGTTAGATAAACAATGTTGATGCTCCTAAAATGATGATGGAATCTAAGGATCAAAATTTAAGATATAACAATATCTAAATAATCTATTCATTCTCACACATAAACTCTCACTTTTTATTGACTTAAATATTATAGTACTAATTTTAGAGACTCACCCACTCCCCTAAGAAACATGTGTCACCATGCCGAATCCAATTTCCATCCATCATCAATTATTTATGATTTCTAAATGAAACAATATTATTGCGTGAAATCAAATCTAAAATAATAATATCCAATCATATATGAACAGCTGAGATATTCTACATCATGAAACTGTGTTATCCTTACTACCTGAAATCCAGGTCTACTAACATGTTAGTGTGTTGAAATGTAAGTCATATGACTTATTTAAATATATTTGTAAATTTTTAGGTAGGCTAATAAATTAATACAAACTTTTAAATAAACCAAATTCGAACATAAAATCAAGTCTATGACATGTTAAATCTTTAAAAATTGGTCAAAAAAATCTTTAAAAGTTTAAATTAGATTAAACTTAAAATTACAAATTCTAATTAAATTCAACTTATTCTCACCCTTATTTTAGTTTAAATATTAAAAAATTTAATTAAATCCAACTTATTATCACCTTATGTTTTATATTTTTAAGAAATAATTTAAATTATTTAACAACTATAAATACATTTAATAGTAATATATGAAAAAAAAAAAGAGAAGTGAAGTCAAATTTCTTCAACAAATAAAAATAAAAATAAAAATAAATCTTCAAAATAATAATAATAAGCTTTCATTCGTTAAGCTCCTAGACTCATCTTCAACCCAAACGAACCCTTCTCATTATGACACGAAGACTAACACGTGTGCAACTCTCAACTCCTCTCCACACGTGTCACCCTCTCATTCCTTTTCATACATCAACGTGGCAGTTACAAATTAACCACCGCCTAATCCGAAACATAAAACCGAACAAATCGCCCCAACATGAACATGACACTGTTTCTTACCAATCATTAAAATCCTCAAGAAAAAAAAAACACCAAAAACAAACTTCAATCTCAAACCACCAAAACAACAATCAGAACAACAAAACGACAACAATGATGAACATTTTAGCTTTGAGTTTGTTCATAACTTCACTCACAACCGCAAGCATTTTCTCTCCAAATCCAAACCCAAACCAAAAACAACAACAACCGAACACAATCATCAAAGAAGGACACAGAGTTGTCGTTGTTGAATATGATCAAGATGGTCACCAAAACACCAAAATCTCAATCTCACCCGAACAAGATTTCACAAACATCGATTCAAGTTTCATAGAAAACACCAAAGACAGAATCAAAGAAACCGCTTCTGTTCTTCCTAACATCGGTCAAGGAATCTCTCAAACTCAAGATTCATCCTCTTCACATTATAATCTCCACACTCCTAACGCTAGAGATGCAAAAGAGCTTATTTGTGACGCATATGGAAAATGCAAACAAAAAATCTCAAACGCAATGGAGAAAGCAAAAGACAAAACTTCCGAAACAATTGACAAAAAGAAAAGCCTCGACAACGATGTCGTCGAGGCCTTCGATAAGGCCAAAGAGAGAGTTTATGACAAAGCAAACGAGGCCAAAGAGAGAGTTTATGACAAAGCAAACGAGGCCAAAGATAGAGTTTATGACAAAGCAAACGATGTTCAAGAATACACAAGAGATTCATTGGAAAAAGCGAAGGAAACGGGACAAACGTTTAAGGAACATGTTGTTAGGAACGTGACAGAGGCGAAAGATGGAGTGAAGAAGTTTGCGTCTTTGTCTTTAGAAAGAATTGAATCTGCGATGAGGGTTGCTAATTTGTTGGGATTTGCGAGTGGTTATGGAATGTGTGTTTGGATAACTTTTGTTTCAAGTTATGTTTTGTCTAGGGTTATGCCTAGACAACAGTTTGCTGTGGTGCAGAGTAAGATTTATCCGGTTTATTTTAGGGCTATGGTTTATTGTTTAGGAGTTGCTTTGTTGGGTCATGTTCTTGGAGGTGGAATTAGACATGGTAAGAGTGGTGGAGTATTCCAAAGTTGGAACCTTTTGGGTTCTCTTTTGGCTGTTCTTGTTAATTCTCTTTACTTGGAGCCTCGAGCCACTAAGGTATGTACTCACTTTTATATCTTCAATTCTTAGGTCATACACAATATTGACACTGACATACACATAACTTGATACTTAGTTATATACCTAATACTTATCATCTTGATCCAGATGACGCTGACATCTAGATATATACCGAACACGATACTGACACTTAGACCAGAACACTGATATCTGATACTTATAGTAACACTTTTGACACTCAATATATGAGTCTCTTGAACATTTTGTTTAGGATATGACTAATATATTGTTTCATTGTTTTGAATGATCAGCTAATGTTTGAAAGGATGAAAATGGAGAAAGAAGAAGGAAGAGGAAGAGAAGATATAACATCAGTTGAACGAAACAGAACAGAAGAGCATCTAAGTTCACCTGATCCTAAAAAATCATATGCAACTACAACTACCAATCGTGTTACAGAAGAAACAGAATCTCCCTCACAAAGAAAAGATTACGAGGTTGTAAGAACAAAGATAATGAAGCTGAATAACAAGTTGAAGAAGTTGAATTCATATTCATCGTTTCTGAACATCCTCAATCTCATGTCTCTTACTTGGCATCTGGTTTATTTGGCTCAAAATGTTCACCAAATTTGCTAAAAACATAAATGGTGTTAAATGTTAATTAACTAATAGTATTAGTAGTTGTTTTTGTGTTTTGGTGTTTGTAATCATGTGTTGATACATGCAATGATTGTACTCTTAAGATTTTGTGTTTTTATGTTTTGGTTTTGGTTTAGTTGAGACTCATAGGTTTATGGTTAGTGTGTAGCAATACTTGTAGTGTATATATTTTGTTGGTTTTCAAAAGTATGAGACTCTTGATAATCCATTTCTTCAATCATAGAACTCTGATTTGGCCAAGGAAGTATTTAAGGGGACTAAGATTTTTCATGAGGAAGTATTGAGATATTCTTTGACATGGTCATGTATTTCAGGGGCATTAAGAACAATGATTATGTTACCACATAGATCAAAACAATTATAAAAGTTGGGTCCATGTGGATAAATAAATATACTATGATCAAATTGTTTTAGGAAACATATTTTATCAAATATTGATATGGCTTGCTATCCATTTTTAGATGTTTGTTTCACAAAATGACTTGCGGAGGACAGGTGTGAAAGATTTGATGATGAAAAAGAAAGTTAATGTGAATCAAAACAAAAAAGAGTGAAATTTCTAGTGATTGGTGAAACCATCTTAAGGCAAAGAACATCGAAGAATAATAGATAAGAAAAAATTATAGTGAAAATATTGTTCAAACACACTATTTTAATTCGAGTCTTAGTATCATAAAAAGTTATAGTGAAATTGATACTTTCTTGGGTAACAAATCGGTCATTTAGTCTTCATTTTTGCCATTCTTTAACTTCAATTTCTTTTCATTTGCAAGCTTTTTCCAGTTCAATGAGATTTTTGGATTTTTGGCAGGTTTATAGTATCAAAGTCACACTCTTCAGTATCGGGTCTGGTTTCTTATTAGGACATCAAGAGATTGATTTTTATCGATACATAAAAATGTTTTTAACAATAGATTTTATTATCATTATCTCCACACCAACCAGATTAAATAGGTATACTCGAGCAATTGGCAGCTTCTACTTTTGTTGTGAAAATAAAATTTCACAGTTAATCGTATTTCAAAATTTTCTTTATTGCCGTTAAGAGTGATGTCTTTGGCTTTTCTATAAAATTCTCATTATGCAAACACTAAATGTCAAGTTCGGATGATCAAATTAGTCTCCTGTACTGCATTGAATTAATATTTTGATCGTGTTCATTCTTTAACAGTTTTAATATTGGCTGAGGTAATTGTTTTAATATAATGTTTCATTTAAAAAAAATTAAATATCTCAAGAGCATATCTCCTTTGGTGCATGAGAGTCTCTTTTCGAACTTGTGAAACTCAATACCAAAGAAATATGACATGAGAACAAGGTCGGTCATTTCAAACCCCTTCATTGAATCACTCTTGAACTTGGTAATGTAACTTCTATTGCAATGTTGAAATATACGATGATCACTCTTTTGCTTGTATCTTTCTTCACATATACACCATATTTAGATAGACATTTATCAAATCCATTTTCTTTAGAAACTCATCAATTCTTTCGTTTCAAGTCCTTGGTGTTTGCTTCAGTCTATACAATGCCTTCTTCAACCTATAGAACTTGGATTCCTAATTTTTTATAATAAAATCAGGTGGTTGTGCCACATACACCTCCTCTTCTAAGGGTGTGTTTGGTTCGGGGGCAGATTTGACATCCATTTGATAAATATATCAATTGATATTTGCAATATTGACAACCATGCTAATGATAGAATATAATATTTTGTCATAATTGGCTATAATTAGTTTTCAGTAATTATGTTGTATCATAAATAGATAGTTAATCATACGTTACACAATAGTTGTTTATATTCTATTCACATGAATGAGAAAGGTACGAATTTCATTATCTTACATGGTATCAACCCTAATCGATCCATCTATCTAAAAAAGACTTATTTTATTTCTTCTCCTTCGCTGAAGCAGCCATCAGCACAACATGACCTTCGCCCTCTGCGTACCACCGCCGCCGAACACGAGAACCACCGTGTTTCTGTCCCTCTGCTCTGTCCGCGCCACCACCGATGCACATCGTACCACCGTGGAGAAGAACCCACACGTTTCTTCTTCACTTTGTTCGCGATCCAGATCTTTGCTCGCGATTGCTGTTCATAATTGTTTTTTTTCCACTGCAAATCATGTCTGATTTAGAACGTAACGACTCCAATACTCGTCCAACCTCCTCTGTCACTAGTGATTTCGGCCAGCCCAATGTCACAATGCTCAAAGGTTCAAAAATCGAGTTTCATCCCGCCCTTGCCGTCTCCAATATTAGGAACCACATTCCTATTATTCTTGAGATGGAAACAGATCAATATGGAACCTAAGCCGAGCTTTTCCGCATTCATGCTCGCTCACATTGAGTGCTACATCACATCGTTCCATCTACAAGAACATCACCACCAGCCCCTAGCGACGCCGAGCATGAACAATGGACCACTCTAGATGCCATCATTCTTCAGTGGATTTATTCCACTATTTTTACGAATTTGTTGAACACTATTCTGGAACCCGACTCCATTGCAATGGAAGCATGAAATCGTTTGGCAGATATTTTTCAAGATAATCAAAACGCTTGTGCTGTCATTCTTATGCAAGATTTATCCAACACTTGCATGGAGGATTTTCCCAATGTTTTCGCTTACTGTTAGCGTCTTAAGATACTCTATGACCAGTTGAGAAATGTCAGCTCTCCTGTCAACAATCATTGTCTGGTTCTTCAACTGATATCTGGTCTTCCAGAAGCTTACTGCAATGTTGCCACCTTGATTAGCCAGAGTAATCCTCTTCCTAGATTCAATCAGGCTCGCTCCATGCTTACCTTGGAAGAAGTTGGTATGGCTAAAACGGCAAGCACCGACTCTCATGCTGCCATGCACACCACTTAGCAGCGACCTTCTGAAGACACCTCTCAACGTGGCAACCGCCGCCCCGGGAACGTTCTCACTCTCGTGGCAACCAGGGCCGCATAGGGGGACGTGGTAACCGTAGTGCGCCTTAGTTTAGAGCTCCAACGCCCCTTCCTCATAGTCTTCTCCTTCTTGGTAGCAGCAACAACAATACCCAGCTTGGCAACCATGGGGTTTGACTCCACCACCATGGGCTATGCCTCCGACATGCCCTACCGGTCCTTCGAACTAGCCTAGAATTCTAGGACAGTGTCCTCGGGAATATAAAGCTACTACATAATCTCTGACATCGGCGGATATTGAGGCAGCTATGCATACCATGTCTCTCCACACTTCTGACAATCAATGGTACATGAATACTGATGCAACATCTCACATGACAGCATCTTGAGGTAATCTCTCGTCTTATTTTCCTTTAAGCAATTCAAATTAGAAAGTTATCGTTGGCAGTGGCCATGGAATTCCAATTCACGGCACCATACACACACAAATATCCACCTCTCACCAACCCCTTCACTTAAACCATGTTCTGCATGCCCCGAAAATTATTTAAAATTTAATTTCTGTGAGACGACTCACCACTGACAATAATGTCTGTTTTATTTGACCCTTTTGGCTTTACTGTTTCTTATTTTTAAATGGGGATCCCTCTCATGAGGTGTAATAGCCGTCACAATCTATATCTAGTCACCATTCCTTCCAGTTTTGTCGGTTTTACATCCAGTCTTTGGCACGATCGTCTTGGTCATCCTGGCGTGTCTGTTTTAAATTCTCTTCGCGATAATAAGTTCATATGTTGTGAACCTTTTAATTCGTCTGTTATTTATGACTCTTGTGTTTTAGTAAAACAAGTGAAATTGCCATTTTTTAATTCTCAAACTACAACTTTGATGCCTTTTGATATTTTACATAGTGATTTGTGGGTGTCTGCTATATTAAGTTCTGTTGGTGTTGCGGTGAGAATCGTGATACCAAGCTATTGATTAACTTGAATCTTAAATTCTTAAATTCACAACCGGTCTTTAATTTATCCAAAGGAAAGGTCTAAAGAAAGAAAAACCCTTTACGCGATGTAACAACAACGCTAAGAGATTCGGGGATCGGGGGTTGGTTATGCCTAGGGTAGGTATTTCACATCCTAAACATCTGTAGTACTCTACAGGAACCTTTTGTTTGTTTGCATGCTAAGTTTGTTAAATATTTGCTAAAGATTGGGATTGGGTAAAAGGTGTTGGTTAAAACCTAAAGATAGTTTCTAAGTTTGCTCGCAAAGACATCGCGTCCTCTGCCTACGTATCCTAACTAGGATAGAATCAGAGCAATCGTAGTTCACCGTACTAGGGTTGAAGAACACTTGATTATGATCAAGGTGAAGGAAAATTGCGATCTAAACGCAGCGGAAAACAAAAATTTTCCTTTAGTGATCCTCACGAATGAGCATGGTCAGTGATAGAATCGTTACCTCTTTGTGGCGATTCAGATCTTTGATGCAGCGATCACAAGCGTTGATGAGGTGCAACGCCTCTACTCAGTCCACACGAACAGCTTCCGGTCACAGTGCTAGCTGCTTACGAACGGAATTATTTGAGTGAGAAAAGAGAATCAAAACGAAATTGCATCAAGTGAAAGCTTCATCACAAGGGTTCCTTTTATAGACTCTCTTGTGGGCTGCGGGCTAAAACCCTAATTCACATGATCCATAATAATATTATATATTATTATAATAACTATTATTATAATAAATATATTTATTTTATTATTATTTTATAACCATTATAAAATAACAATAATTATTATTATATTATCCGAATTTCTATTTTTCACTTAAGTGCACCGTACCTTACGGTGTTCCTTTGATTTCTCTATCTCTCATCAAACTGTCCTTATGTGTGTGACCCTGTAGGATTTCGTAACGTTGGTAATTATATTAAGTTATATATATTTAACATAATAAACAGTAAGCGGTATCTAGCAACACATCACTGCTACCCAAGTCACGAAAATGTCATGTGATCTGACAAAACCTTTTTCGTGATAATATATGTTTGTACAATTACCCTTTTGCCCCTATGTCTAT